CGCCCGTACCCCCTGGGGAGAAGCGGGTGGGTCCAGGCTGGAGGCAAGGACAGCTGGGAGAAGACGCAGCTGGGGCAAGTGGGTCTCACACGCAGTAATGGCTGCAGGGAGCCTCATCCAGTCTGGTGGTCAAGTTTGCCGACACTGACAAGGAGCGCACGATGCGGCGAATGCAGCAGATGGCTGGCCAGATGGGCATGTTCAACCCCATGGCCATCCCGTTCGGGGCCTACGGCGCCTACGCACAGGCAGTAAGTGGGGGCACAGCCGGGCGTGTGGGGGGGGGCCCGCAGCTGTTCTCTAGCTCACTTTGCTCAGAGCCCCCAAGAGCAACTCCCCTAACAGTGCTGAGGGGAACCCTGCTCCTGGCCCAGAACATCCTGCTGCCCTGGAGCATGAGGAGTGGTGAGGAATGGACCCAGGGAGTAGAGGCCAGAGGGGGTTAAGACAAGGTTAGGCTGATGCAGGGTGGCTGCCGGGAGGAGGGGGTTGCTGTCCTGGTTCTAAAGGGGAAGAGCTAGAGAGAAGGCCTCTGAGCCAGGCAGTAAGGTGGGTTACCTCAGCGCTCTTCCACTCATCAAACCCTAGGAGGCACTGCTTGGAAGTGGTGAGAGAGGCTCAGGTGTTTGCTTGTGGCTGCTCTACTCCCGCTCTCACTCAGGGAACCGGGTCCTCAGGCCTCTGGGCATTCCTGGCAGGGGTCCCCCACACCCCCCTTCCCCTGCAGCCCCCCAGACCCTGCCTCATGCTGATGGCCACCCACTTCTTCCTTCCACATTGGAGCCGCCTCTGTCCACATCTCCCCTGAGCTGCCCACGCCCCCCAGACGTGTGACCACAGCCCCCACACATGTGGCACTGAGGTAGGCCAGGGTACCTAATCTAAAGAGGTCAGCTCATATCACTTCTTCAGCAGTGTCCAAACTTAGCCATGTCCACGACCTACCCAGTCCCCTCTCCCCTTTATGACAACACTGGGGGTGCCTAAGGTTCTAGTCATGATCCTCCTGTTGCTGATTCCAAGTGAGGACCATTTTAAACAAATCCATGCCAAGTTAGTTCTACAGAGGCCTACCTGTAGATGTCTAGAGACATCTACCATGTCTCTAGAGCTTCGGGTGTCACATCTCCACGGACAACAGACCTTTCACAGGGCTGACCAACACCCACGGAGCCGGTCCCAGCCCCCACCCCCACCCTGCAACTTTAGAGTCCCTAAGGCCCTACCATGACTTACGAATACAGTTCTCTCAGGTGGTGGGCGTGGAGAGATAGAGCCGAACTCCCTGGGGTTCAGGCCCCCCCGGGGAGGCTGGTCTCCGGGAGCTGAGCCCCCTGGTGGGGAGGGCTGCCCCCCCCGGAAGCGCATGATATTTTTTCCGCTTCCTCTGCCCCAGCTGATGCAGCAGCAAGCAGCGCTAATGGCGTCAGTAGCGCAGGGCGGCTACCTGAACCCCATGGCTGCCTTCGCCGCCGCGCAGATGCAGCAGATGGCGGCCCTCAACATGAATGGCCTGGCGGCCGCACCCATGACCCCAACCTCAGGTGAGTGGGCGGGTACCAACACGGGGCCTGGCCAGGCAGGAAAGCAGCTGGACTCAGGGTGGGACCTGTTGATGGGCCAATTTTGTCTACTAAGGGACCTTTCTATGGCAAGAGCACACATGTATGGGCCAAGCAGGCCTCATCCTCCAGAAGTTTGCCTTAAGAATGTTCTAATCCCTGGGACCTAGGGGAAATTGGGATGTGGGCCCCATGCTGTCAATGACATGATTTCAAGGTGATGACAGTTTCACTCAAGTTACTGAGCCCTGTCAGGAAGCAATTCATCTTGGTCTCTTTTGTAGATCTCTAGAAAGAAATTCACATGAAAACACCTCCCTTTGAGGTCTGAGGGGTAAAGAGCCCTGCCCATTCTGTGACCTTGTTAGGTTCCTGGCCTAACGCGAGAAGGAGCCCCATTTTTTTCATTTTTCTTTAACCCAACTTAGACTCATTGGCTTTTCCCAAGACAACTGCACAATAAGCAAGAGAGGACCTCAGGAGTTATTAAAGGACGGGGGGCTTGGAAATAACCCCTTTCACAAGTCATGTTCTTTTTTTAAAAAGTTTTTAATTTTCAAAATTTTTAAAAAGATTTTATTTATTTGTGGTTTTTTTTTGAGAGAGAGCACAAGCAGGGGGAGAGGCAGAGGGAGGGGGAGAAGCTGACTCCCCACCCAGCTGGGAGCCTGACATGGGGCTCGATCCCAGGACCCTGGGATCATGACCTGAGCCGAAGGTAGACGCTTAACGGACTGAGCCATGCAGGCACCCCACAAAGCATGGTCTTTATTGGATCTTGGCTATTGTTCAGTTCAGTGATGCTCAACCCCGGCAATTTTGTCCCCCTGCCCCCCAGGACATCTGGCAATGTCCTGAGACATTTTTGGTTGTCACAACTTGTGGGGGGGTGGGCCTGCTACTGTAATCTGGTAGGTAGAAGCCAAGGATGTTGCTAAACATCCTACAATGCACAGGACAGCTCTCCACAATAAGGAAATGTCTGGCCTCAAATGTCAGTAGTGCCAAAATTAAGAAACCCTTATCTAGTTCTAAGGGCTGGCCCCAACACCCGAAGCTCTCATTCATCAAGCTTCCTTGGCTCTCTGTTCCCACACCACACCGGCAGCCTTCCTGACATCCAGGAGCTGTAGAGAGACCCTACTTCCTACTTGAAGAGGAAGGCCCTTTCCAATACAATCACCCTGCCATCCACACCTTGGGCTCCACCCACCTGGCATAGGGAAGGCACAGGGTATTGTCATCTGACCCTGACTTTACCCTTGCCACAGTGAGCACCACCTTTGCCTCCACTGGAGGAGGCCAAAGTGTTTTATTTTGTGTATGAACAGGGCTGACTGTGGACTCTGCAAAGGGCTCTCTCTTCCCTTAGGGCAAGGGAACATCAGAATTAAGACCTCCTCCACCTGAGTAGCAAAACTCCTTGGTGGGGAGGCAGATCAGCCCCTTTGTGATCCAGAGAAGAGAGCAGAGCCAGAAACTTTAGAAGCCCCTTAGTGGTTAAACAAGGCATCCTGACTTTGCCAGGGTGAGCAATAACACTGAAAAAGGTGAAAGGAAAATTAAGTATGGTCAAAGTCAAGGACACTGAGAATAGTTTATGTGCTGCAGGTCCAAGGTCATGCTGCAGTCACCGGTCAGGGAAGTCTTTCTGGGGTAGGCTGGAGTTGGACTCTGCCTTGAAGGATGGATGCAGTTGGGATGAGTGATGTTACCATGCAGGGAGATAACCCAAGGCATGATTCACAGATAGGACTGAGTTGGTAGGTAAAGTCTAGGTCTATTCCCAGGCCCTTGGAGCCAACGGGTGGAGCTCCATGGGCTGGCCTTCCTCACCTTGGTTCCGCTTGCCTCCCCTCCTCCCCCACCCCTCTCCACCTCTGGAACCAGGTGGCAGCACCCCTCCGGGCATCACTGCACCAGCTGTGCCTAGCATCCCATCCCCCATTGGGGTGAACGGCTTCACCGGCCTCCCCCCACAGGCCAACGGGCAACCTGCTGCGGAAGCTGTGTTTGCTAATGGCATCCACCCCTACCCAGGTAAGCGTGTCTGGTAACCCTTCCTTCCCCATGCAACATACTCCTCACCCATTTCGTCTCTGCCTTTGGTGTTATAATAGGGAACATGTGTCTCCTACCCTCTGTCTGTTCCGTGGTAGGACCCCAAATGTGATCAGAGAGAGCTAGCCTCCTGCCCTCCTTCAGGGAGCCCCTGGTTGGGAAGAAGAGACCAAATTCTCCTTCTTGGAGAGGTGCCAGTCTGAGGGTGAGAAAGAAGCCCATTTGTGGAGCTCTGTCAGGACAGAGAAGAGAATAGATAGAGTTGTACAATCAGGTAGAGAGGCTAATAACTGCAAATTAATTGAGGGTGAATTTGACCCATAGGAAGTGAAGAGATAGATGCTAAGAGGATAATCATACTTAGTGTTAAGTAGGAAAAAACTCTTGTAGGCAGGAAGCAAAGGCACATAAATTGGCAATCTGGCCTCTGTTGGGTCCCTGGATCCGTACGCAACCATGGTCAGCACTTGGGACAGGGAATCAGAACATTGGCTAGCACCCGAGCGCTTCTAGCATCAATCCGGGCACAGGAGATCCAGGAGGTCTGTTCCTGATTAACTGTGTTCCTCTCAAACTTAGCATTTCTTTAGTGGTGAGAGCGTCCAGCTGACTTGAAGCAGCTGTTCTCTCTGATTTTGCGGATGGACTGACATGAGAGTAGGAAAGCTGGGCCTAAAGCCCTAGAGCAGACTGGCAAGGGGCAAAGTGATGGAGATGTGAAGAGCGCTGGCCTCCTTCCCGGAGGGTAGATGACTAGGTTACAGAGTCCCCATAAGTACTAGTAAGTTCCCAGTCTGTGCCAGATGAAAGGGGGGCCCCAGAAGGAGAACAGGACATGGGCCTATCCCCTGGGAGGTCAAAGGCAGCCAGGAATACAATATACATTCACAGCATAATGAGACAATAAGGCAGAACAGAGTTCATCAAGAGTGAATGTTGTCTGCCTCAAGATGCTAAAGGATTCAAATGAAGGGAGAATTCTATAGGCTGAAGAAGCCCAACAGAGTTTCCCGAGGAGGAGGCCCAGATCCACTTTAACAGATGGGTAGGCATTAGAGAGGTGAGGATGAACAAGGAACACACTTCTGTGGAGGGGGCTGCCCTGGAGGCCCAGAGACCAGGGGGCCTGCCTGGCAGGGGCAGGGGCTGCCCAACTAAGACAGAAGAGGTCAGCTTGGGGGGCTAAGTAGTGCTCTCTACTCTGGTTGCTCATCAGAACCCTCTGGGTGACGTTTTGAAATCACAGAAGCCCAGAGATTCTGATTTCAGTGGCTGGAGTGAGGCCCAGACATCCATAGAATATGAATGTTCCACCAGCAGCTGAGTGCAAGGTGACTGTGCTAGCAAGAAACAGAGGAGAATTTCCTGACTTTGACCTTGGAGTTGTCTCTGATCTGATCCCAGTGCTTGCTCCACACCTCTCCCCTCACTGCCTAGACAAGAGGCCAGAGAAGCCCAGAGTGAAGTGGCAGGGCCAGAGAATCTGGAGTGTTGTTGAAGGACAAAGACTCCAGGCTGGCCAGGGAGGCAGGGAGGGGCTTGGCAAGCCGGAGGCGGGAGAGACCCCACCATTCTCAGGCTCTTGGGCTCCTCCATGCTCAGGCTCATGGGCTGGGAGATCCAGTCCCCAGCACATCTGGGTGGTTTCATTTCCCCCCTCCTCCCTGCCTGCAAGCCCATCTGGATCTCTGGATTTTGACAAACCTGTTTCTTCCCCACCCCCACCAGCATCTGTGAACTTTTTCCCTCATGGAATTTGGAAATGTTCCTCTCCCCCATTTGTAACAATCTGCCACATCCCATAAACAATTCCCTGCCAGAGCAGGAGGGAGGGATGGAGGGAAGGAAAGGAGAAAAGTAGTACATTAAAAAAATTAATTTACCATCTTTAAATGCAGAGTTTGGAGCCGCTGTAATGAGCGAGATCCTTCAAAGTGTTCACTCTTTGGCAGTTACTAATGAGGTCATTAAGCAGAGAAGGGGAGAGGGGTCTCAGAAATGCTTTTCTCCACTTCCTAGCCCCGGGTAGCTTCTCCGTTCTCTCCTCTTGCTCATGGAGAGCAGGTGTGAAGCACACAGTGTGACCTCTGCCGCCACATAACACCCCTGTAGGGCGGCTCTCACAACCATTCGGGCCCGTTCACTCCGTGGGTCACCGTATTTGCCGAGCACTTATTTGGTGCTGGCACTCTTCTGGGGACAGCTGCCATGGAAGTGGTACGGGTTAGATTTTGCCTCAGCCACCAAACTGGCCAGAGGAAGAGACACCTTTTTCTAATTTGCATAAAGGCACTTTGTGTTTGAGCAGCTGGGAAGACCAAGGGGATGAAGCTAGACGTGGCCATCCAGAGAGTTGGGGCTGGTAGAGGACTCAGGCAGAGGGAGCAGGAGGGAGGAGGAGACCAGCCCAGCAAGCACCAGCACCAGCACCACTGGGAGCTCCTGGCTCCAGTCTCTGCTATGAGGGATACAGAGGTATAGGGTTTTGTCCCGAGACAACCCCAGGCAGGAAGGGACCTGCATCCTGACCCATCTTCAGCTCCCCACTCTGAGCAGTGCCCTCCTGGGCCCAGCTTCCCTGCTGCCATCCACGCTGTGTCCAAGGACTATTGCCCCAGGATCTTCCCTTGGCTCCCCTGCAGCTCGGGAGCTATTGTTCTAGTGGAATATTCCTGAGCGGTTTTGGGACAAGAGCTCGGAAGGGAAGTTTGGGAATTCTTCCCTGTCTGTGGGCCCCAAAGCCTAGCACTACCAGTTAGCTTGGCTGGCCTGGGTTGCCAAGCAGGTAAGCCCAGATAATGTTCTTCCTGCCTCTCTCTGTTAGCCGGTCTGCCTCAAACATACTGAGGCTGGATGTGTTCCCACTCGCCTCCTTGGACCTCCAGGGCCAGCCCCCTCCCATGTCAGTCATCAGTGGCCTTGGTCACCAAGGGTAGTGCCCACACTGCCTTTACCCACAGCACCTGTAGACCCAACAAGGGCAACAGAAATGAGCCAAGCCTTCTCCCCAGTCCAGCTTCTCCAAGTTATTTGCCAGAGTATCAGCCTAAGGCTCCTCTCCTCACACTGGGCAGTAGACATCCCAGACTCATGGCATCAGGTGGGAGGAAGGTCCTTGGTCTCATGGTTCTTCAGTTTCAGTGGGCACCACCCCTTTCCCAGCCCACGGGGCAGACCTTATTCGTGTGGTTAGTTCCTGGGGAGGGTGTCGCAGGCACGGCCTCGGAAGGCAAAACCTCCATGCTTGGGACAAACCCCCGGAGACTAATGGAGAGGTGCCTGGGTTTGAGCAGGGATGGGTGGCCCAGGAGGACAGAGTGATGGGATGAAGCCTCCCATGCCCTTTATTTTACCCAGGTGGGATCTGCCCCTGGCTTGTGCTGGGGATAAGTGAGGAGGAGACCACCCTCCTGGTAACCTCTAGCCCCCTCACCCACAGTTCCTCAGCCCTTTTCCAGGATCTTCCCACCAAGTCCCTCGTGGTCAAGCCCTCCTCTGGCATCCCCTTCCCAGCCCTTGCCAGCCTCCTGTGGGAGCCACCCATCCCCCCCCCACCACGCCGGCTGCAGCCTGCGTTCCCAGCCCCCAGTCAGGGTGGGGCAGACACCATAGTGGCTGGAAAGAGCCATGCAGCCACGGCATCATCTTGTGGGCACGGTTGGGGAGAGGCTGGTCTGGGCGGGCACCGCTGACTTCTGCTCCCTTGGCTCCCCCGCAGCGCAGAGCCCCACCGCCGCGGACCCCCTGCAGCAGGCCTACGCTGGAGTGCAGCAGTACGCAGGTCGTTAGTATCCTCACGTCCCCAGTCCTCATGCCCCGGCGCCAGTGTCCCCTTCCCACCCCAGGCCTGGGCCCAGAGCTGGGTGGGGGAGGGCGAGGGGGAGGAGGAGGGAGGGCTCTCCCGGGAGAAGACCCCTCCCCCTCAACAGCCCCCCCTAGCATTCAGGCAGAGTTGACCTGTGATGGCAGGGTACCCTTGGGGTGGTCAGTGGTCAGAACTTCAGAGGAGAAGGTGAGCCAGGTCAAAGCCCTGACCTTGCTGGGCAGTTACTCATCCCTGAGGCCAGATTTTCCTCCCCCCGCCGTGGTGCTGCCGGGCCCGGTGTGTCCAGGAGCCCCAAGCCACACAGCAGCACTGGGGGTGAGGCCAGAGTTCACATCACTGGCCTGGCAAGTGTAGATGCCTGGGTGTGAGGGAAGGAGCGACCTTGGAAGGGAAGCAGTTCTGACCCGTCCCCCCGCCCCTGCCACTTACAGGCAGCAGGAGTAGGGCTTCAGCAAAATGACAGGGAACAAGAGAAGATACGCAGCCAGAGGTAGAAAAAAGGAGAACTGAGAAGAGATAGCGTTGGGGTGAGCAGATGGCCTTAGGTCACTGAGTGGGAAGGCCATGAGCCACTGTAGGAAGCCCAAGGCATGCTGTCAGCCCTGATTCTCTGTCTCCCTCACACACACCATAATCATCTCTGCCCAGCCAGTCTCCCGCTGCCTGGCCAGGTCAGAAGGAGCCAGAGAGATCTCCCTTGAGGGCAATGTGGGGGTTCTGATGAAGTTGGCCTCTCACATCTGGAGGTCAGGGGAAGCTCTCTCTTACCAGCTGGGACCCCTGAGCTCTGACCTCAGATCCTGCGCTTTTGGGAGCCAGGCCAGGCGGAGGAAGGGGCTGACCATTCCTATCCCGCCTCTGACCCTTCCCAGTTGAATGCAGAAAGCACCAGGTTTGTCCGACTCAGTGCTCTGCCCCCGGGGACCAACCCCTGGCAGGATCCCAGAGGCCAAGCTCACACCTCGGGTGGCACCCCATATCCCACACAGGTGCCATCTGAGTGGGCAGAGGGTATGTGAGCCAGAGTCAGCTGTGGCTCAGAGAACGGGGGTGTGTGGGTGATCTGGTCTGGGCAGTCAGTGCTTTCAGTGACCCATTATTGTGGATTATCCACGCATGTGGATTGTCCATTATTTCAGAATAAACTTGCCTTCCCCCAGCTCTGTGAGTGCGCACACATACACACACACACACACACACACTCAGCTGGCTTTATCTTAAGTGGCTAAGCAAAAATGCCCTTTTTGGCTGGTCTGCTTTTACTGCTCAACACTGAAGTTTCTTTCTTCCTGCCTCTCATTCTGTCTCTCTCCATGTCTCTGTCGCGGTTTCTCCCTCTTGCTTCTTCTCTTTGGCCCTCCAGCAGCCGCCTACCCTGCTGCCTATGGTCAGATAAGCCAGGCCTTTCCTCAGCCACCTCCAATGATCCCCCAGCAACAGAGAGAAGGTGAGTCTTTGAGCTGGGGCTTCCTCCCCATCCCCTGCTGTCCCCAAAGAGGCTGTTCACTTGGGCTTTTGGCTGGGGTGTTTCTTTCGAAAGGTGACCATGTTTGTGTGTTGTGTTGAGGAGGGGGAGGGAAGATAGCAGGATTGCAGGATGAGGCCCTCTCCAATCCAAGCGTGTGGTAGGAGGTCAGGAAGGTGGAACCTGGAAGGGGTGGGGTCCGAGAATCCCCATCCCCTGATGAGCAGGATTTGGCCAGTGGAGAAGAAGGGAAGAAGTAGGAATGCTTGGAGGGGGGCAGGAGTAGGGAGACCTGTTCACGGACGGGAGAACTTGTATCCTCTGGGTGACTGGCAGAGACAGCTGGAGCCGCCAGGGTGGGATTCCACCGGCAGCTGAGGGGGCGGGAGTGACTCAGTGCAGCCTAGTGGAAGACGAGGTTCTTGGAAAGTCACATCCAGAGGCTCTGGTGTGCACAGGGCACAGGACAGGACAGGCAAGACCAGTGGGGCTTGGGGGGCTGGGATCTAATAAAGACCTTCAGTGTCCCCCCATTCCAGAACCTAGAGACCCACAAGAGGCTGGAGAAATAAGCCCACCCTCAGGGATTCCGTGGGCCTGCTCACAGAGAGACCAGTGTGAAGGGCAGGAATACTAACAAGGTCTTGCCTTCCCCACCCCACAGAAAAGGTCATCCTGCCAGTGAGGGTCCTCCATCTGCCCCAGGAGCCCACTTGGCCAGGGGATTCCAGTGTCTCCAGAGAGCCCAGCTCATAGTCCCTGCAGCAGACTGTCCTAGAACCAGGGCATGTAGGTCAGTTCTGGAAAGGACACTGGGGGTCTGTTAGTCCGAACCCATTGGTCAGACAGGCCCCACACAGGACCCACACAGGCTGAGAGCCTGGGCTCTGAAGCAAATCCATCTGGGTCTGACTCCCGGCTTGGCCACCTCTTCCCCTCTGACCCCTGATGTCCTCACCTGTAAAATGAGGATAGCGAGGATCAGTCGCTAGGGAAGCATGAAGCTCAAAGGAGCTCAAGTCTGACTGGAACTCCAGCAATTTCCTATGGATTTCTCATTATGCACATAGCCCTTCCTTCACCAAACTGTCACCCCTCCAAAGTTGCCCATGATGCCCCACCCCGGTTTACGCACATTGGGCAGCTCCTGAGATCTGGATCGCCATTTCTTCCTGCGCAGGAGAGCCAAGCTACAGGAACCCAGAGGAGTGTGCAGAGGGGCCCCTGCCCACAGCCTGCAAGCCCAGCTTCCCCTAGCTCTGAGTGTGGTCTGGGCCCCCTGCTGGTCAAGTGGGGTGGGGGTGGTCCAACAGCCCCGCCTCCACCAGAGGATCCCCTCTTGGGCTGTGACCCTCCAGCCTGTTCACCCCTGCCTCCCTCCCCCTCAGTCCAGCTCTTCAGTGCACGTCAGTCAGATCAAAGCCACGAGGGGGCCAGGAGGGGTGGGGGCCGTGAGTCCCCATGTTGCCCATCCCCCCCAGGTCCAGAACGGAGCGCTGTGCCCACAGGCGCTATTGTCTTTGTCTCCTCACTGGCCTTAGGCTGACCCACCCTCAGCCTGCAATCAGCACCCTACATGAGTCTGGCCTGTGGGCTCAGCGGTCTCTAAGCCCTGCTCCACACACACACACACACACACACACACACACACACACACACACACAGCTGCAGGTCAATGCTGCTCTGACCAACACACAGGCTGGCCCCTAGCACTGGCCTTACACAGAGTGAACCCCTCCATCTGCTCCCTGCTCCGCCCCCCTTACACTCTGCTCCACCCCATGCATCCTGCCCTGAACTTCTCAGACCTTCCTTCCATCTCTGAGTGGCTTCAGTCCCCCACCTCGCCCTGTGCCCTGTTCCCCAGACCAGTCCCCTTCCAGCCAGCTCTCAGTGGCGGGATCTCCCACTGTTGTCCACATTCTCCCTGACTGGTGCACTGGACAAGGCACCATGGGAGAGCAGGGCATGGGGAGGAGGGAATCGTGGACCCAGATGTGTACAGAGCCAGGCTTCATACAAGGGTGAGCTCAGGGTGCTGGGGACAGGGTCATCAGAGGAGGCTTTGGGGGCCTTGGAGGATGAGGTCTTCAGCACATAGAGTTGGGGAGACACTCAAGGCAGGGCAAACAGGAGCAAAGGCACGGTGCTGCGAAGTATGAGGTGAGCTTGGGCCTGGGGATGGGATAGGGCGGGGAGATAGGCTGGGGTGGGCTGGAGTCAGCCCAAAGCCGTGTCCACAGTGTTGCCTGAGGCATGGGTGAGAAGGAAGGCTGTGTTCTTCCAGCCATGCCAGTGGTTGGCCCTTTCTGTTATGGTTACCTCCCTCTGGGCGATGTCACTGAAATACCTGGACACACTGGTTGCTGGGGAGACCCTCCCTCCGGCACTTTGTCTTTGAGTTGAGTCTGAAAACCAACAGATGCCTGAATTCCTGGAGGCTGTCCGCTCCACAGATGGGCCGAGGTGACCCTCAGGGATGCTCGAGTCCTGGCTGCACCCAGGGCCACAGTGTGGTCAGGATAGCCACCTTCTGTCTCTGGAGCTCTGTTTCACCATTTCTCAGAAGGTTGGTGGGGGGGAACCAGATTGATCTCCAAAGTCCTCTATGCCATCGGATGCTCTATGATCTGTGGATGAGGAAATGCAGGGAGGGCTTGGGGGTAGAAGGTGATGTGTAGGCTTCCTGTTGAGGGGTGAAGGGCGGGGTGAGGGGCCTAGCCTGGAGCTGGGAGAGCCATTCCTGTGAAGCTTAGCTGCATACCATACTGACTGGATGAGCCTAGGGGTCCTGCCCTGAAAGGCTTCTTGAATCTTTAAGTTGAATAAACATAACATCCATATAAAGCAGCTTGCAGAACTTGAAGCGAGGGTCTCAAGTTCAAAGCACGTGGCTGCATGGGGTGGAGCATTGAGGGAAGACCTGAAGAATGGGATGGAAGGAGGAAGGAAGGCAATGCTGGGGGAGGGGCAGGAGGACAAGAGAAGACTAATGCCCCTGTCCCTAGATCTTCCAATTTGGATGGAGAGAAAACCTCCCAGACCTAAAGGAGAAAGAGGCTCAGACCACAAACTGTAGACTTAGGGAACACCAGAAGAGAGAGAGCATATGGGGACTATCTAGGTGGGAATCCTGGAAAAGATGTGGCTTAGATCAGGCCTTTGAGCTAGTTCCTACCCCAAGAGGACTCACATTGAGCCGGGGACCATCAAGGGATACATTCACAGAGTATGAACCAGTGAGAACCTGGCATGGCTGGAGATGGGGTAAGGGGAGGGCCGCCAGCGCTCGGGGGATTCAGCAGCAGGGACCCCAGGACGCTTGCACTTGCGCCGGTTCTGGTTCTGAATGCGCCGTCAGCTGGCAGTTTGCCTGGGAGACAGTGGTGGGGGAGGAGAGGCTGAGGGCAGGAGGGGGAGGAGAGATGGTGCAGGGCAGGGACCTAGGACCCAGGAGGTCAGATGCTCAGAGGGTGGCTTCGGTGGTCAGAGGAATCTTTGGAAGGAGCAAGGAGGAGAGTGAGGGTCGAGAGACTTGCTTCCGAACTGGGATACCTGTCCCAGGGAAGCACCACACAGTTCTGGCCTTGAAAGCCACAAAGCTGCCCATATCAGGGCCTTACCACCTTCACTTTTTGAGCTCACGCTTAGTTCCTACCAGCCTGTGGTCAGAACCTTGGTTCTTAGACACCTCTAACAAGTGCAGCCGCCTCCTTTGCATGACCTCCACAGGGTGGAAACAATCATTGGAACGACCACATTTTAAAAGGTTAAAAATATGAGGCATACTCTGTTTAAAATGGTAAGAAATAGACGAAACGTCTTGGAAAGATTTTTATTTCAAAGTGAAAATTGAGCATGTTTGTTATTTAAAAAGAAAAATGTAACTCTTTAGCAGTCTGGAAATTTCAGAAATCCAAAGGCCTCAACAGTGTTCAGCATTTCTGGGGCATGAAGATTTATGATAGGCAGAGAGAGGAAAGCACAGACTTACAGAAGCAGATGGTCCGGGTCCATATCCTGGCTCCAACCCCCCCAGCTGTGTGACATTTGGCAAGTGACTTAACCTCTCTGGGCCTCCGTTTCCTCATCTGTGGAGTGGGAGTGACAATAGCACTGGACTCCGAGGGCTGCAGGAAGATTAAGGGACTTAATCTCATACATCTCAAGTGCTTAGCGGAGCCTGACCTGTAGTTCATGCAGTAGAAGTGGCAGGGTTGTTCTTGTCATGGAATGGGGAGCTCCATGTGATGAAGCTTGTGGGTGCCCAGGTTAATCACCGAGCCACGCCACAGAGCCCGTCCTGCGCACCTAGCCTCCTAGAGGAGGCAAGAGAAGCCTTGATTTCTGCACTCGGGACGGGGGGCTGAGTGTGAGGTTTGGGGTAGGGGAAGGTGGGACCATGGGGCACCAGCTGATAAGGAGTGGCTGCGGTTGTGGAGGAAGATAGGCCAAAGCAACAGCCACCCTGAGGTCAAGGTCGGGGTCAAGGTCGAGGTTGGATCTGGGGCCTGCCTGCGGGAGGTGAAGTGAAGCCTCTCACAGGGCCACTGCACGGCTGCCCCAGGGCGATTCCAGAGCAGGGGCGGGGCTGGAGGGCGGCGGGCAGACCCTCCCAGGTCTCCCTCCCCGCGCCTCTCCTCAGCGCCTCCTCTCCCCGGCTGATCTGGCCCTGGCACGTTGACCCCCTTCACGGGTCAGCTCCACCCCTGGAGCAAGTTGCCAGGCACCCTGTTACAGATTCATTTTGCAGCAAAGGTGACTGAGGCACAGAGAGGTTCAGTGACTTGCCCAAGGGCAGGGCGGAGACCAGAGCTCAGACTGGGGCTCAGCAGTCCCCACTCCTCAGTGGCTGCCCTTGGATCTTGGATGAGACCCCCCCTCCCAACCTTGCCCCCCTCCCTGCTGCCGCTGCCTAACTCGCTCACCTCTCCTCTGTCTCTCTCTTCCCCCACCCCGCCATCCCTCCTCCCTGCCCCCCCCCCCCACCGCAGGGCCCGAGGGCTGTAACCTGTTCATCTACCATCTGCCCCAGGAGTTTGGGGACGCTGAGCTGATGCAGATGTTCCTCCCTTTCGGTAATGTCATCTCCTCGAAAGTGTTTGTGGATCGGGCGACTAACCAAAGTAAATGCTTTGGTGGGTAAAGATAACAAACCAACTAGCTTCACCCAGGACAGGGCGGTGCTCGCACCAATTTACCAGTGTCCAGTGTCCGACTGCTTTTAACCTCCTCCTTCACATCGCCCCCAGCCCCAGGTGCTCCCTAAGGCCCAGCCCCAAGCCTCCATCTCCACCCCTCTTCTCTCTGCGACTGTTCTTTTGGCTTCTTGGCTTTCCCTGCCCACCACTGCCCCCCACCCGCTCCCCATCTCCCCCATCCCAGTACAAGAGACAGGTTCCCCTGCCCTCCACAAGGCCCACTTTCCACCCACCGAGAAGGGGAAGGAGTCACCTTGGGCCAGGGTGGTGGGGCATCCAGCAGAGCCCATTCTCCCAGCATCCCCTCCTCTGGCCATCCTCGAGGCCCTGGTGGACGTGGAGCATGATCCTTGGGGGGAGGGGTTTGCCCCGCTGAGGCCCCCCCTGTCCTGCCTGCCCCTTGGCCTCCTCTGTCCACCTCTCTGTCCTGCCCCTGCCGCCCTTCTCTGTCTACCCTGCTCTCTGCTCCCCTCCTGCCGTCCACTGAACCCTCCTTCCCCCACCACTCCCTCAGGCCACCAGAGCCACATTGCTGAGGAGTCAGGAAGAGCAAACTGGTCCTGCCCTCAGGAAGCCTCAGGTCTGAGCTTAGATGACAATCATGCCTACTGCGCAGCACTGAAGTCTGCAAGGCACCAAGTAATGGAGCAAAGAGAAAGGCAGGTGGATGTACAGAGACGTGAGGAAGGGGAGGGAGTTCCACGGAGGGCCAAGAGAATGGGCGCGGGAGCGGGGAGGACAAGAGGGGAAGGACAGTGACTGAGGAAGCAGCAGGAGGCTTTGGGGAGAAGGGGTCAGGGGAGGTCAGCTGTGAGGGAGGGGCTGTGTTGGGGGAGGGCTTCCGGGATGGAGGCAGCGGGAGATGATAGCAGGTCCTTGACCTGAGGATAATAGAATAAAAATACAGCTTTTAGGAAATGTGCGTGGTGGCAGGATGAGAGATGGGACAGGGGACTCGGGAGGATCTGGAAGTCTGGTTGTCAGATAAAATACAGGGTGCCCAGTTAAATTGGAATTTCTGATGAACAGTGGATGCATTTTTGTGTGTGTAAGTATGTCCCAAATATTATATGTGGTATGTTCCATGCAATATTGGGGATATGCCTATAGTAAAAAAATATTCATTATTTATCTGAAATTTGAATTCAACTGGGCATACTGTGTTTGGATTTGCTTTAGACCTCCTGGAATCCCACCTCATTCCCACACCTCTCCCCTCTACTCCTCCTCAGCCCCCTCTCCTGCTTCCTCTTTCACCTCCATCAGCCCTTCCTCCAGGGCGAGATCCACTCATGAGTCCCCAGGGAGTGAGGAGTCCAGTCCCCGGAGAGCCACACATGGAACCAGAGCTGAGTCTGCCAGAAGCTTAGATCTCCAGATTGAACCCCAGATTCTGGGCCTGTGAGGACAGAATAGGGGCCGGGGTTGCCTTGGGAACGCCGGTCACAGCTTGGGGTGGTGGAGGGGAGTCGGCACAAGTGTGTAGAAGCATCAGCAAGCACAGGAGAAGGAGATCCCAGTTAGGAGATCCACTTTGCAGAACCATGAACGGCGTGAGGTTTTAGAGCATGTTCCCCAAAGCAGTCAAGGTCTTTGCACCCTGGTCCCTTCCCCTCCGGCAGCTGCCACAGGAAATGTGTGGTACTTGGAGGGCATAAGGTTATCCCAGCAGCTCCTTTCTCTTTGGGTATGAGAAAACAAAGCAAAAGAAAAAGACAGGGTTGCGCCCCTCCCCTGTTTGACCGGTATTTCTGCTGACAAATTACAATTATGTAAGAACACCACACTGGAGATCATTGCATTTGCTTTTTAAATAAGGCTCAGATGTTACAGACGGCAGACGATGCTGCTAGGAGCCCACCAAGCGCTGGGCAACCGGGCCAGCCGGCTTGCTCTCTGGCCACGTCCCCGGAGGCTTTGTGCTGTCCCTGGTGGGGACACAGCCCACTTTTTCAAAGGCATTTCCTTGGAGTCTGCCCCAGACACTACCCCCGCCATTTGCCTATTTGAATTCTCCAGGACCAAGGTTTTTTCCTGAAAATCATCCTCTGTATCCCTCTACGCTGGCTCTTTCCTCTGTTCCTGAACAGACTTCTAGCGCTAAACACCCACTGGCCTTAGAGAAGGACGGGCTTGTGCCATGCCCACCTGGCTCAGTGCTTCCTCCTTAAGCCCCATGGGTTCTTTCTTGCTTGCTTTGGCAGCTGAGCTTTTGGCAACTCTCCCGGAGGCCTTCGGTGTAAGAACGAACTCCAGCGCTCATTCCTAGGCAGGACATTTAACACTGAGCCTTAGTGTCCTTTGTGAAATGAGGACGTTGGCGGTCATTTCTCAGGGGCGGTGTGAGGGTTATAGGAGGTGGTGTGTGTGAGGGGCTTTGCCAGAGCAGACCCTCAGGAGGTGCTAGGGCCCCCTTTGTTCCTAAAAGGACGGGTTGTCTTTGCGTAAATGTGGTCCTGTGTTAAAACGAGTCCCTCAAAGGCCCCACTTGCTCTTTATAAGCATAAACAGAATCTTCCAGGAGCCTTTGTGAGCTGACGTGCAGCACAAATGGTTGCTATGTTGGAAGAAGGGCTGGTGGGGGGACACCAGGAGGGCATCCTCCCCACATGGCTTCCCAAAATCTGGGAGGCAGGAGCCTTCTCAGGGCTGGGAGCGATGGGGGAGGAGGCTCTGGGGGGAGGAACACAGTCCTCCATAAAAGGTAACCACAAAAATGGCGGATGGTGTCCGGAGCCCTGTTCAGCGGCCCTGAGTACTCAGCAGTTAGCAAAACTAGCTGAGGAAGAAACGTTCCCTTGAGCCTGGAACCCTTAGCAACCCCTGAGCTCCCAGAGACTTTAAACTCTCCTGTGAAGGCTGGGCTTCTTCCCTCCAGGACCTCTTGTCTCCCACTCTCCCCACTGGGCGGCCGTCCTTGCCTTTAGCCCTCTGCCCTAGATAGCACCTCCAGCCCCTTTATCTTGCTCCCAACTCCTCCGTGCTTTGCTCACGTGTGTTTCCTGCAAGAAGAGCCACATAGGGCAGGGGGCAGATGGGGAGGTAGAGTCTGGGCTGATAGTGCTGTGTGGGCAGGCCAGCGAAGGAGAGAGGGCTGTCGCCTTCAGTTAGGCTCTCTCCCGACAGAGAGAGAAGCTTTAGCACAACCACCCCCTAACTCTGGGGGAGAGCAGTGTAACAGACCTACAGTTCCCACGTGTGAAAACCGTTCTGCTCTGCGAAGACGTGCCCGTGGGCGTCAGGCGGAGAGGTCAGTGGGGTGGTGGACCTGCCAGGGGGATGAGAGCAACAGGTAGAAGGACGCCCCATGTGGCTCTCTGACTAAGGGCCACCCGAAATCTCTCCTGTTGTGGCGGATGGACTTGCACAGAGCTTGGTCCTCTTTCTCTGGCCTGACTCACAGATTCCACCTGAGCTCACACACACCCACTCTTGAGTACACTTACTGCGTGTACACACATCTTTGATGGCTCACGGCTGCCAGAGCAAGCGTGAGCAAACGTGAGCAAAAGCAGGAAGGAGTCAAGAGAAAGAGGAGAGAGACCAATGGAGGCAGTGCCTAGGGCAGAGGTAAAAAGACAGAGTCACCACATGGGGAGGGTGAGGGAGGGGTTAAGGACAGGCCCAATGTACCATGGACAATTAGCCAAGAAGACAGCTACTGCTTCTGTGGGGGTCTGTACACCTATCACTTATATATCCAGAGGCCATTTGGGGACAAGCACCCTAAATGAGACATGCTTGCAGGATGGCCTGGGAACCTCGCCAAACTTATTTCGCAGGATCTAAGTCCATTTTAGAGAAAGGGCCTCTAAAGTCAAATAAATTCCAGGAAATACTAGGCAAACAAAGCTGTAAATGTTTATTTACTGGAGAACTTGGGGTGGGAGGTGGGGTGTTTATTTGTTAATGTGCCTTGAACTATCCCAGAGGGGCATAGTGGCAAGCCTACTTGACCACAGAAGCCCCTTTCTCAGGAATACCGATTAGGGCCAGTTTAAGAAATGCTGATGTACAATGTAGTCCCTATAAGGAGATGCATTCAAAGTTCCCAAAGGGTACTAACTTTCAGACCCTTACCCCTCCCCAGCTGGGAGCTGCTTGTTTCAGAAGGTGACTGGGAGCCATAGATGGTTCCATATCTCATTCTGGGATGTTGGGAGGAGTGACCTCGTGAAAAGCTCTTCTGCAGTGCCTAGTCCACAGAGAAGGCTCTCAACTAACTTTTACTAATAGTGTTAATTTGTACTACTATTGTTATTATAGATACCATGAGGGGTTCATAGGGGATGCATCAGTTGGTGCGCGCTTAGAATCCAGGGCAAGAGCACCTGCTCCCAGGGCTTGGAATTTTAAATAAAAGGGAGGTGCCCACAACCCCTGGGCGCGAAGTGGTGGGTTCCTGCGAGTCGGACTGGATTTAGGCAAGTGTCTGCCAGGAGCCTGGCTGGGGGCAGCCTCGCCAAGGACCGGGAGGGGGGCGGAGGGCCGCGAGGACTGTCAGCCCCTGCCTTCCCCCGCGGCCAGGCGGCCCTCGCGAGGGGGGCGGCTGGAAACGGCGGTGGAGAGGTTTTCTCCGGGGTGCCCCCCTCCCTCCCCCTCGCACTCCTCTCTCTCCCCAGGCCGGCACCCTGTGCCCTCCCGCTGCCAGGCCCCCTCCTGTCAGGGAGGACAGTGTCCAATAAACTCCTCCACCCGCAGGTGTGTCCGCCCTCCCACCGAAGGAGAGGGCTGAGGTGCCGGGGCCGGCAGGGGTGGGGGGCGAGGGCGCCCAGGAGAGTGGCGCCTCCCAAAGCCGCGGTGGAGCTGGGGAGGCCCGGCCCGGAGGCGCGGGTCTGCGAGGCCTGGAGCCCCGGACACGCCCACCCCGGGAGGGGCCGCGCGCTCGCGGGCTG